GTGTTTCAGGATCTGTGGGAACTTTTTATCAGAGGTCCAACTTAGAGGAGTTTTGATCCAAATCTGCATGATGACACTTTTGGAAGGATTCTTGACTCTTTTGAGATTTGTGGAAAATGGACATATGGCGTCATATCTTCATAAAGACACAGAATGATAAGAACAGGAAGAATCCAGGCATCTCATTTTTAAATTCTCAGGGAAATGTAAACCTAATCTGGACCCAGAGACACAGTTAATGCAGTGTGGGGGGGATTTTCAGCCTTGGTGGAGGTGCTGTGTCTTGGACTGCTCTTGCTTTTCTATGCACAGTATAACGTACCCAGCAATGTACTTCTTGTGAGTTGTAAATGTGCACATGTGTTTCTTTGTTTACCAAAGAGGAAATGATACCTGGAAGGGAATACTTGGGAACAAACGATAAAATAAAACATTTCAAAGTGAAATATATTTGTTTTCTTACAGCTTATGTCAGAGTTGGTTCTTCCCGCTCTGTTGTGTTTGTTGATGGACTGGATTCTCCTTAACGATCCAGGAACAATCACCTTAAATCACAGCAAAACATACGATTAACCCCAAAACATCCGAGGCAGAGACCGCCACACAGACAGAGAGCTTCATCAGTCTGACCTCCATCTCTTCATCGTCTGTGACCAGGCAGCTCTTCAGTTTCTCAGGGTGTCGGTACTTCTCCAGCAGGTCCAGGGTCAGCTCCTGGTTCAGGCACTGATGGGTCAGAAAGGTGTGCTGCAGAGAGCAGAGAGACAGACATCAGGCTAGCAGAAAAAATGAGAAAGCAGGCGATTTTTTATGGTTTGAAACCTGCACCAGGTCTAACATACGTATGACACAGGAAGTAATCATGGTTGTGTGATGGAAAAATCAAGAGGGAGGGGCTCATTTGCATGTGTAAAGGGTGTAAAGCTAGTGTGTTGTGGCATCTTCCACAACACATTATGTGTTTCGAGACTTTTTAAGGCGCCGTAGATATCGTGTGATCAGCCTGATGCAGAAATAACACAAAATGAATCCAAAGACAATCACGCGAGAGTGAGCGCTACTGACTGTGAGCATCTTGGTGGCGCTCGGTCTCTTCTTGGGGTTCCTCACCAGCATGGCCTTCACAAAGTTGTAAAAATTGGATGACCTGAAGACGGGAGACATGTGCGAGGTCAAGAAAATACAACACCCGCTGCACACGCAGTATTTATAATGTTATCTGACGGGCAGAGCTTACGTTATGTTAATATAATGTTTAAGCATACAACGATTCAAGGCAGCACCTGATGCTGACGAGCTGATTACATATAATGCATGTTTCAGTAGTGCTGCAGGCTTTTAGTTACCATTTTGACTTGTCCTTCAGTTTAGGAGGCTGGTAGCCGCTCTTGGACATGAGAAACAGCACTCTACAGGAGGAAACAGAGCGCAGCATTAAAACGCACAGAATGACTTATGGTGTGTTTGTTTGAGTCAGCTGAGGGTGTGTGAGTAACCAGGTACATGTGGGTGGTGGAAACACTCGATGTTTTCTATGAATGTCTGCATGCGCACGCAGCACGCTCGGCTGTGTGTCCACATGCATGCCGATGTACCGAGGGGAAACATTTGAGGTGAGTGGCGACGTGTCACGTGCACGCATGTTTCCAGACATCTTGAGAAAGACCTGCAGAGCATTTTTATTGCACACACGTGCGATTGCAACAAGATAACAGCTCAATGCGTGAAATCCTCGGTGCGTCTTTTATGGAATATTTTTCGATACGCTCTGCCTGCAGGTAAGCGGCGAGCTCTGTGAGAAACCTGTAAGATGCGACTGATACGACTGCGCGATGATACGACTACAAACCCACGATGATGAGACGTGAACCGGTCTAGTGATTCGACTTGATGACTTCACATCTCTCACTCGCCTTAACAAAAAAAAAAGCACCATGCCTTTATCTTTAACACCAGCGACTTCCTTTCAACTTGGACTTTTTCAGCTTCCTCTGCTTTGCAGGAGCCTGCAGCAGACATGCAGACAGCCTCCTCTTCTTTTTTTTTAAAGCCTGCAACAATATTGCTTCTGGTGAAGTTCTCACCGATTAAATTGTTCTCTGAAAACTGTTTCTTACCCACAATGACAAGAGATATTTGGCCTTAATCTTTAGGAACAATGAGAAACATGTGAAGGCGTCTGTTTCAAAACGTGACATTAAACATACACCGAGTCTTTTACTGCGGTGTTGGACTGTTTCTGTGAGCTCTACTGAGTCTGAGGTTCAGAAGCAGCTCATAGTGAAGGATTTCCTCTCCGTCTAATGAGCGTGATCAATATTTATTTCCATTTAGTTTTGAATTTTTTTAATGAATATAGTTTAGTTTCAGTTAGTTTCACTTTGTTGTGTTAGTTTTTGTTGCTAGTTTAAATCTTTTTCTTATTATAATGTGTGTTGTGTATTTGTAAAATACACAACACACATTATAATAACACAAAGGTGAAATCTGAGAAGTTCAGAAGAAGACGAAACACGGCAGCAGACTCTCGGTGACATTTAAGTCTCAGCAAACACCGAAGCCTCGTCAGGCCGGGCTGTTAAATGTGACCAAAACTGAGGACATTATTTCTATATTTTAATTTAATTCGAGTTTATTTTCAGTAATATTGTGGTTTGATTTCTTTTTAAAACTCTAGCTTTTGTTTTAATTTGAGTTATCGATGTGGACGTCTGCTAAAGGTCTTTTACACGTGGCTTTAGTACACTATGATAACCTCGGTGCTTGCAGGATCAGAAGGTTTGAAATTCAGAGACTTCTGGTGACTTCACAACTTTTCCCTGTTAGAAATATTCTCTCAAAGTCAGGCTGAAGCGATGCCGGTAACTTAAGTTTGCCTGCAGAACGAGGGTTCAGCCTTCAGGATGAAATAAGATCAGATATCTAACGCTGTCGATAGCAAATGGAAAAAATATTGCCTCTGCAGAAGCGTCTCTTCAAAGATCTGGTTAAGCAGGCGAGATGACGGCAACGTTTTAAGGCCTCAGCTGTAAGTGCAGAAGAGCAGAATTTGCATGAACTGACCTTTACATACAAACGTGTGCATCAGGTGAAAAACGAGGTTAGTTTAATTAAATTAAATAAAGGACAGAGTCAGCCGAATCAGTCGGACCCGTGATGGAATAATCGGAATAACGTCTCAAATTCCTATTCTGCTCACAGATCAGGGAGTCAGGAAAGGGACTTCCTGTGTGAAATATAAACATCTCCAGCACTGACCTGAAATATTGTTATGCTAGCAACAGGAAACATCCTTGATGTGGTTAAATAAATTAAAGATGGAGGCTGCAAGGCCTCATAGTGTGTCTGTGTGTGGGTACAGCAGTGTACACGTGCTCGGGCATGTGAGTCGTGTCTTTCGGTGTGCGTTTACCTCAGTGGGTGGACATCAAACATCGGAGGCTGCAGCTCTGCGAGCTCGATGGCTGTGATGCCCACAGACCAGATGTCACAAAGTTCATTGTACCCGCCTTTAATCTCCACAGCTGCGACCTCTGGGGCCATCCTGAGGACAGGAGGGATACAGCAGCAAGAGTTTTTAACACAAATACAAAACAAAGAGCGGGAAGAAGGCGGGACGGTGATACAGACAGACTGTCACTGTGTCAGGCTTACACTGCA